AAATTCATGAACATCCCCTTTAAAATTTGCTACATTTTCCTCGTTTTTTATTGTGACAATGTTTTAATCAGTGGTGAGAGTTTTCTCACGTCAAACGACACTTTACACTTATCCTTAAATACGTCAGTAATGGAAAACATTACAATTTGCTTACATGAATAATGTATTACTAGTTACAGCAGGATCAATCTCTTTCCTAGTAAGTGTATTCCTCTTTTTCATAATAGTATTACCTCTGTAACTATTAAAACATTACATCACAATACAAGAGAACTCCCAGAACTGATCCTTTTGTCATTTCTCCACATGAAACTCGTATCTACAGCCAAGTGGCTCTCTGATCCTGATTAATCAGATCATTATTGTTCAATAGTCAGAATCCAACAGTTTAAATACTTGGCTTTTTTGTTTAAATTAAATGTACCCTTTTTCCCGCCCCCCGGGGGATATGGAAGGTTTTATTATCCTTTAATCTTCTGACCCTATTGCTGTCCCTATTTCTAATTCTATTTCTATTTTCACTAAACACTTGTGCCTCTTTTGCACTTCTAAAACCCTTGTGGACTTTCTTTACCCTTTTTGTTTTTTTAGAGGGGACCCCATCTTCCCTCAAGGCTAAAACGTCAAAACCTGACAATTGTTTTATCGCGTCCGATAAAACGCCCGTCACGGCGGGTCTGTCCACACCTGCAGTCATGCTGGGCTGAGACCTCTCTCTCTTCTATTAAAAAACAATGTGCAGATTCTCAAAAATATGATCTGCTTACCTTTTAGAAGTGTTTTGCAGAGTAGAGAGTCCCCAAACCCACAGACCCAGTTTCTCTATCTGAGCTCATCTTGCGTCTTCTTTCTGTATCAAATCACGTCGGGGTCACCATTTGTTGTCAAAAATGATTTGACTGACGTGTTCAGAATTTGGTACAGAAATAAGGCCAAGATTTCAAGAGGTACAATAGAACATTTATTTCTCTTTACAATTAAATGTTGATACAGAACTCCTGGAGCTATTCCCTAAAATCTATCCCTGTGCTCCAACTTCCCACAATGTGTCCTCCCAACGGTTTTATCAGAATGTCCGATGATGTCACATGGTCTGAGGCTGGTCCCAGTCTGGCCCAGTCCAGTTTTGTGTCTCAGGCCGCTAGAGACACGCTGTTCCTGAAAATGATACTTTTATCACAGAAGCCTTGTCCTTGGTGCTTGTCTGAATTCCACTAAATCCAGGCTTTAATATTGCAAAAAGACATGTTATACAAACACCTACAGGAAATCATTAGTATACAACATTATAATTCTACAACAATCTTCAGACTTGTCCTGAGAGAGGCTAGGGTCTATGCCTTGCCTCTGTCAAGACATGCTCCTTGTACAATGTAACAAGTACAAGATTAACTTTGTCTCTTTGTTGTGTGAGATTTCATCAGGTTCAACTGTAGCTGAAACAGCATTATCACTTGGTCCTTCGAATCCGGATCCCAACACTTCTTACAGGAGCTGAGCTTGTCTCAAACATGGACTTCCAGGAGCAACAACAAGGCCTTCTGCACTCGGAACTGCATTGGAACTCCAGGTTTGAGGCAGGACAGCCCTGGGTTGGAGTCGACGGGAGAACTACAGTTTTTTCCTGATGAAATTGCAACAAAAGGCAAGTTCTGTAAACTCTAAATTATGTCCAAAAGTAATCCAGGAAGTAGTGTGAAGTTCACATGAACACATTAATTTAGGAAAACGCAGAAATTATGCTTGAGTCTGGGACTTTATTACACTACAAATTATGTCCGGGACTAATTCAAGAGAGTAGTGTGGAGCTCGATGAACGGGGCGTTCATTTAGGATAACGCAGAGTTATGCCTTTAGTCAAGGACTTTTACAGAGCTCGAATGAACGGGGTTTCATTCAAAAGGGTAACGCAGAGTTACGCCTGTATAATGAATGTGTTAGAATTGAATTACTTCAGACTAAACTTCTACATTACTTCTAAACTGAAATTGGACATTTATAGACATCTAAATAAGCTACATCGAAATTGGATGTTTAAAGACCTTTAAATTACTCAAAATTTGGAATTGGACATTGAAAAAAGACCTAAAAAATAGTTAAATTGCAAGCATTGTGTAGGGCGGCCATTTTGTGGCCATGTGGTCCTTTGTCCTCTGTCCATGTGTTTTCTTTGTTTGTCTTCGTCCTTCTTTGTCTTGTGTGTTCTTCCTTTGTCCCTGTGTTTTATGTGTTTAAGTGTTTGTCTGTTTAAGCTCAAACTAAACTGACAAAACAAACTCACTAACTAGAACAAAATTTAGAGAGAGAGAGAGATAGGAGTTCGTTTTTCAGCTTGGGAAGAGAAAGTTGAATAAGAGGGAAAAAAATACATTGGGAAGAGATTTTACAAGAACGAGTTGAGTATGTGTGAAGAAAGTCTAAAAAATTAGCAAGAATTATAGAAAAGTTTAACACCAGGTTTAGAATACTTGTTTTAAAAGTCATTGTGAAACTTTGAAACTGTTTCTTGGTTTAGAATTACCCTTCACCTTATGTTTTGATTCTGAAATGTATTAACAAATGTGCTTCTTGTTTTTGAGAAAAATGCCACGTCCCTGCCAAAGCTTCAAAGCAACCAAATCCACCTATTTTCCATTGTGGGACAGAAAACCCACCCCATCGCAATCTCCATACAGCCATCGACACCTACAAAACTACGAAAATCACGGGCCAATTTGCAAAGATCAAAGCGCGCAGGCCCACGGAGGTTGCTGGCCGTTTGTTCAAGTTAAATGGACGTGAGAATTGAAGGTGACATCTTGGTACATTTGCGACTTGAAAGTTCAGCTTTGTGTCGCTGTTGGAGAACGGCTTGCTGCTAGTCTTGCGTCGGAAACGCAGACAGAGAAGAGTTTCAAAACAGGAACAGAGTGGACATTTCTGGTCATAACCAAACATGAGGAGGGGTCGAGAGGAAGTGTCAAATGGACTGACTATGGACTGTGAAAATGGACTTTGGGCTTTTGGGCGTTTGCGTGGTGTTAAATTTGATAACCAAAGTTAATACATTTCAAGTTAATACATTGTTCAGTTTTGAGCCATGTATGTCTCAATAGGGGGAATAGTTTATGGAACAACAATGTGAAATTATACTATGAACATTTTTTTCTTTTTCAGTTTGGATGCGTGTTTTTTCATTTTGAGTCATCCATGTTCTCCTTGTTTAAACATAGATTGTTTGATTTATCAAAAGGATAAAAAGGAGGGAATGATATTGGAATGTAAGTTAAGTTATCATTTTGGTAAATCATATGTGGCTATGTGCTGAATGCTCTGTATTGTAATTCACTTTAGCTTCAGGAAGACACCGGGAGGTCTGGGGAGCTCATATGCTAAGTGTCTTTTGTTGTGTTGGTTTCTTCCTTTCCCATCTGCATACGAAGGTGTGTCTTGCTCTAGCAAAAGGGACTTGCAGACTGTGAATCTTCAGACTTGTCCTGAGAGAGGCTAGGGTCTGTGCCTTGCCTCTGTCAAGACATTCTCCTTGTGACAATGTAACAAGTAAAAGATTAACTTTGTCTCTTTGTTGTGTGAGATTGCATCAGGTTCAACTGAGGTTGAAACAGCATTATCAAGATGAAATCCTGTGGTCTCCGAACCGGACCCCCTCCAATCCCTGGCTGCGCTTAGAAATTCTGTCCATAAAGACAATGAACAAAACCGGTGACAAAGGGCAGCCTTGGCAGAGGCAGAATGCGAACGCAGCTCTGGCTCCGGTCATACAGGGACCGGACGGCCCTCAGCAGAGGACCACGGACCCCGTACTCCCGGAGAACCCCCCAAAGGACACCCCGGGGAACACAGTCGAACACCTTCTCCAGATCCACAAAAAACACATGTGGACAGGTTGAGCGAACTCCCATGAACCCTCGAGTATCCAAGGTCCAGTGTTCTGCGGCCGGTGTTCTGTCGAGTTGGTCTGCCCGTCGAGATGATCTGCCTCAGCTGTTAATGATGTAATGCAAACCAGCGCTGTGCGTCTCACGGCAGCCAAAGCAAACCAAGATGGCGGACATGTAGTCCGCGAATTACTTTAAAAGTTAAATATGAACGAATTAAGACACGAATGTCACTTTTAATGCAATTTGAGGCGAGATGTTGATGGTTCCGCGTTGTGATATGTGTGTTTTAAGAGTAAGAGTTTCGTGTAAAGTTTGTTTTAAGCAGTCCACTGCTCCTGTGAAACTACACTGATAGTGTACCCAAATCTGATTTGCGCATGCGCACAAACCCGCCAGAATGGGGAAAAAACTCGATCTAATTAAATATTTTGTTTGAACACACTATTGTTAATCATATTGAATACAGTATGATACATGCATAAAATTTAATTTATTATTTCCATTATCAACCCGACAGACCAGTCACAGGACGCGTCATTTGCCTGACGTATGCAGCAGTCAACTCAGGGACTGCGATCACACAGCAGCAGTGTAGTTTCACAGGAGCAGTGGACTGCTTATAACAAACTTTACACAAAACTCTTACTCTTAAAACACACATATCACAACGTGGAACCATCAACATGTCGCCTCAAATTGCATTAAAAGTGACATTTGTGTCTTAACTATTTCGTAAAGCAATTCGCGGACTACATGTCCGCCATCTTGGATTGCTTTGGCTGCCGTGAGACGCGCATGCGCAGGTTTGCATTACATCATTAACAGCCGAGTCAGATCATCTCGACGGGCAGACCAACTCGACAGAACACCGGAGCTAAAGTGAATTACAATACAAGCTTTCTACAATATATTTTAGCCAGATGTGATTTACTAAAATTATAACTTAAATAACCTTTTAATGTCAATTTGTATGGTTGTAAACCTGACAAAATGTGCAAAAGTGTCAGCTACATGCATCTACAAAGGCCTACTATTCTCTACATCAAAAACACACCAGCACACTGGTCAAAATGAACACAGATATTTCATGTGTGTTGCAGAGACGTACAGGTGAGGAGCATGGAGCACAGCATAGCTCAGACAGAGAAGCTCCTGGGACAGCTCTGCACAGGGCTGGCCTCTTACACCCGGAAGACTGCAGGCCTGCGGGACAAAGGAGACCTGCTGGTGACTCAGCTCATGGACCTGTCCCGCCCTGAAGACCCGGAGCTCCAGTTAGGCCTCAAGAACCTGGCAGAGGACTTGGCCATGGTGCAGGACTACAGGCAGGCACAGGTCACTGACATTACTCTCACTTAGGGGACAAGACTTTGGGAGAGATTTTTAGAATTCAGTCCTGTAAGGGAAAGCTTCAAATATGATGATCATAATTTGGGTGGTCAAAATGGTGACGAACGATGCTTTCAAGAATATATTTCTAGACATCAACATCTGTTCAGTGTTTATAGCCTCACCTTGATGAATCAATATACATGTTTTATGTCTGTGTGCATAGCAGTTTAATTATTTGATTACCAAAATAGTAACCAAATAAAAACCTGATTAGTTGAGATTAGTATTACGGCTGGGACTCGATAAAAAAAATTCTAATTAATTAGCGGCTTTGTGCTTAATTAATCACATTTTAATTGCATGTAAATATTTGTCTTGAGAACAGTGAAAAGTAATTTTTTTCACATTACTTTTTAGTTTACCATTGAATAATGACTGAATACATAAGCTTAAACAACACATGTTCATTGTGGATGATCAGACGCACTTCTTCCATCCATCCATTTTCTACCCTTTAATCCATTTCTGGGTCAGGGGGGTGGCAGTCAGAGATGCCACCCAAGTCTCATAGCACCAGCCCCTCACTGACCCTCTGCAGGTGGTGAGTCCACAGGAGGACGGCTGCTCTCTGAGTGTGAGCATAGCCTTGATCTTTCAGTGGGGGCTTTGGGCAAAGTGGGGTTAAGTGTCTTGCCCAAGGACACAACGACAGCAGTCATCAGTGGGAGTTGGTGGAGAAGGTGCAGAGGTGGGAATTGAACCCACAACCTTCTGGCCTTAAGGCCAATGCTCTACCAACTGAGCTACTGTCGCCCCAGACGCACTTCTTTCCCATCAAATAACGTATCTGTCTTTGCCTCCACACACTCTGTCCACGACATACGCTTTGTATAACCAAAATCCACTGCACTCAAAGTGAGCACTAAAGCTTATAATACGTTTGTGCCTTTCGAACTAAAACATCAACAATAGCAGCTCACACACCTGTCGCTGCTGCTTCTCCTTCTCCTCCACCTCCTCAGAGAAGTCGCTTGCTGCTGCTCCTCCTCACACACCATAGCTCCATACACAGCGCTCTTTCCCGTCTCTAACCATGGATCTAATTCACCCAGATTTAGACACAGCTAAAGTTGGTCTAAGCTTGTTATTTGGGTGGGCGATATGGCCTAAAATTCATATTGCGGTATAATTTGGGACACAGACGGTAGACCGTATATATTGCGGTATAATTTGGTGTGTGAATTTCGATATAGGTCTAGCAGGTTCTCGAATGAAATAGTCAAGATTGTTACTTATTTAAATATATTGTGCAAAACTCCAATTATACAGAACATTATACAATTTTAACTTCCAAGCCAACCAAAAGGGGGTGGGACATGTGTCCGTAGGACAGGAAGTATTTTTTTCCTATTAAATAGAATGGGCAATGCTGTAAAACGCAGACATAGGAGCTTTTTGCGGCTTATCATCACTCTTATTATGAGTGAAAACTATGTTAATGCAGCGTACGCTTTGTAGTGTTTGAATGAGTCAATTTTTTTCAACAATGAGAAAGATTAAGGCTGTTATAGTGACAACAGTGGAGTCACTCTGGTATCAACAGAAACACGTCTGAGATGATACTTCTGATCAATAACACAATAAATATGGCACAAATGTTACTTCAGACAGCATTTGAAGCGAGAAAATGCTGTCTGAATCCACTCAGCCACCGGGCGGCACGGTGGCTGAGTGGATAGCACTCTCGCCTCTCAGCAAGAAGGTCCTGGGTTCAAATCCCGGCCGGACCAGGGCCTTTCTGAGTGGAGTTTGCATGTTCTCCCCGTGTCTGCGTAGGTTTCCTCCGGGTACTCCGGTTTCCCCTACCACTAAAAATATGTACAATAGGTCTGGCATGCGCCTCCTGTTCGGCGACCCCGCTCCATCTCTGTGTGGAGTGAGAGACAAATGCCCAAAAATAACAATTGTAAACCGCTTTGTGACTCTGGTCTGTGAAAGGCGGTATATAAATAAAGATTACTTACTTACTTACTTAGAAATCTGACCCTTTATGGTCATTTTGGTGATTTGTTGAGCTGTAAATCAACAAAAGTACGGAGCTCCAGGGGGAGCTCCGCCATTAGCTTAACTCCGTAGCGTTAAGCTAAAAGTGTTAAGCTAACAGCAGTGAGTGAGTTAACAGCAGGGGCTGCAATTAGAAAATGTTTCAACCAGTTCTTTCTTTCTTTCTGTTGCCTCGGCTACTACAACTGTATACCACACAAAAATACTGGATTGTATCTATGAAAGTAAGCGATGTAAAGACTGCGGACTGTCGGCTATCTCTGTGGCCGCAGATGCTACGGAAGCTAATGCTAATGCTAGCGCATTTCTCCCGTTCCTTATACATAGTTCCCACAGACCAATGAATGTCATATGACCTCCTCGGAGACGCCATCTTTGATGGCACGCTGCTGTGTTTGTGCATTCCATTAAACAGAAGAATGAGAATAAATGTAGATATTCAAACGCAAATTGGAAAAAAGGGCAACTTTTGAGCAAATAATTGTATATTAATACAATGGCACCACAGTTTAACGTGCTACGGACATGTTTTACATATTTGATCAAATTATGCAGCAAAAATTAACAAGCAATGCAAACATTTCTCAAAAACTTTAGATTTAATACCAGTTGGAGCTCCATTTAATTATTTTAATTATATTAACAATTAATTTAATTAATGCTAATGCCACACGGACACTCTGGATTGCTGTTATTGTTTATTTCCGCGTTTTTGACCGTATGTTTTGGTGAATGGTGGGCAACTGATTTTTCCAGGCGTAAAGAGCAGTTTATTTTATGACACAGATCTTTTTACAGAAGCAATGCTGTTTGTGAACATTGTTTTAGCCCACCATAGAACTATTATTATCTATTTAATACATTTACGTTGCCCTCGAGAGCCTCGGACGCGACACCGATCCTCCTCTCATAATAAAGTAATCTAAATAATGAAACTCTCAAGTTACCAGATATCAGCATACACAAGTTAGTACTGAGTAAATTACGTCTGTCAACACATTATAAGATACGATACGCACCTGACACAAAGTGCTCCGAGCATATTCTTGCGTGTTTTGAGGGAGTTTCTTGCCTGTTTATCTTCGCAAGCCATAACCTCCATGGTTGTTCTGACAAAAGCTTAGTCTTCTCACATTCATGAAGTCTAATGATGGGTATACTGTAAAATCCAAGTTTAACGGAACCTCCGGCACGATTTGAACATCCATTGACCCAGCAGGAGATGACCATTTTCAACTTTATCACGACATTAACACGTTTCAGCTTCTTTTTCTATTGTTTTGCCCACAGAATGCCAAGACAAATGGCGCCGGGTCGGCAAATCCCCGTATGTAGTGACGTCATGTGGGAACTATGTATTAGAAATTTTCCTAAAAATTGACACCCGTTAGAGAAATATTTTTTAGCAAAGTAGAGACTCCATAGGTTCCCCACTTGATATGAGCAGTTGCCACAACTGTAAACTCCACAGAAGAGCAACTCAGAATCAGTAAATGTTTATATTGTTCTTTGTGGGGAAATATACTTCCGGTCCCTCGGAGCACTTTCGTCACGTGCAACCCAGCAATTTGATGACATAATGACCTATCGCAATATGCAGGTATAACTAAAATCTCTACCGTTGGCCAAATTTATATCGCTTATACCGTTTGTATTTCCCAGCCCTACTTGTTATGATGTACTTTTGAACAAGAAAAGTCACGGAGCTCAGTTGGCGCTCCAGTATAATCGGTCCGTCTGAAACTCATCCTCCAGTGAGGAAAGTTGTGCGGTGGAAAAAACGCATGCGATTAAAATGCGTCAATTTTATACAAATACATGTTGAGACTTATTTCAGTCCAAACAAAACACAGACAGTGAGAGTGTGTGTGTGCGTGCGTGTGTGTGCGCGTGCATGCATTTGTTCAGGTGGAGAGGCTCGAGAGCAGGGTGCTGATGCCTCTTAAAGCCTATGGAGATATCATCAAGAACAAGAGGGTGAGTTGAGAACATAGACGGTAAATATTGAGACACACTGACATTATGAAAATTATGAAACTATTTGCATACATCTCCAATGTATCCAACTCGTAAAACTTTCGTAAAGATCAGCTGACTCAAGATGGCGCCAGTGTGTTTGGCTCGCTGTCTGTCCCTATCAGCACTATTTTTCATATTATTGTTTCTTTCATCTATTGCCACAAATGGATTGGCCCTACTAGTATATGATCGTCAGACTCTTTTGGATCTCCGACCAGCTGTTCAAAATATTGTGAACTTTGAGCAGGATAGACCATATTCTACTCAGCCCCCACTCCTGTGTGGAGTCCCGGGTCACCTGCTCTGTGTCCCGGCCCCACCTCCGTGTAGTGTCCGGCGGAGGCTTCGGGGAAGGCGCAGCGGCCGCCTCGTAAAGCTAAAGGCTAGTTTGGCACGCTCTTCCTCAGTATTTAATGCTGATGTTCACAATTATCACCGCGTAGCTTCATGGCGCACCCTGGATCCTATTGCAGCTGCTTGGTTCCTCTGGTCGGCATTGACGGGGGACAGTCCCGTCGTTGCATGCTGACGCGCGTCCCCCGCAGAGAGGTGAATCTCTGCAATCTGCGGTCCCTCGCCCCCGGCTTCTGTGCTGGCTAATGCCCCTGCGAGCACAACGACGTCCGTGGATGTCCAGATAGCGACTGTGAACGCTCGTTTGCTGGGAAATAAGACGTCTAAACTCAGAGACTTCTTCGTGTCGCGAGGACTGGATTTATGTGCGTAACGGAGACCTGGATCAATGCCGGTGAGTCCAGCGCTCTGATTGAACTTTTGCCTGCTTGTTGCTCCTATTTCAATGTCCCCACATTGACCGGTCGTGGAGGGGGGATTGCAGCCGTTTATAAAGAAACTTTTAAGTGTAAGCAGTTAAATCTGCAAGCCACCTCATCTAGTTTTGAACTTTGCACTTTTGAGATGTGTTGCTCCAACTCGAGCTCTCTCCTGTGCGCGGTCGTTAATAGACCCCCTAAATACACTGCTCACAAAAACTTAGGGCACACTCAAAAAACACATCCTAGATGTCAATAAATTAGATTTTTTGGATGAGAATCTTTATTCATAGTGTGTTGAGAACAAAATAACATAAGAATGGTAAATGGAAATCAAATTCTCCTTCCCTAGAGATCCGGATCCACAATTATAGTCAAAATCAAAGTGACAAATGAGGTAACTGTCCATCCATCCATCCATTTTCTTCCGCTTTATCCGTTTCCGGGTTGCGGGGGCAGCAGTCTAAGCAGAGACGCCCAGACTTCCCTATCCACACACACTTCCTCCAGCTCGTCCGGGGGCACCCCAAGGCGTTCCCAGGCCAGCTGAGAGACATAGTCCCTCCAGCGTGTCCTAGGTCTTCCGCGGGGCCTCCTCCCGGTGGGACGTGCCCGGAACACCTCCCCAGGGAGGCGTCCAGGAGGCATCCTGAACAGATGCCCGAGCCACCTCAACTGGTTCCTCTCGACGTGGAGAAGCAGCGGCTCTACTCCGAGCTCCTCCCGTGTGACTGAGCTCCTCACCCTATCTCTAAGGGAGCGCCCAGCCACTCTGCGGAGGAAGCTCATTTCGACCGCTTGTATCCGCGATCTCGTTCTTTCGGTCATTACCCAAAGCTCATGACCATAGGTGAGGGAGGGAACGAAGATTGACCGGTAAATCGAGAGCTTTGCCTTTCGGCTCAGCTCCCTCTTCACCACAACGGTCCGATACAGCGACCGCATCACTGCGCACGCTGCACCGATCCGCCTGTCAATCTCACGCTCCATTCTTCCCTCACTCGTGAACAAGACCCCGAGATACTTGAACTCCTCCACTTGAGGAAGGACCTCTCCACCCACCTGCAGAGGGCAAGGCACCTTTTTCCGGTCGAGCACCATGGCCTCGGATTTGGAGGTGCTGATTCTCATCCCAGCCGCTTCACACTCGGCTGCAAACCGCCCCAGTGCATGCTGCAGGTCCTGGTTTGTTGGAGCCAACAGGACAACATCGTCCGCAAACAGCAGAGATGAAATCCTGTGGTCTCCGAACCGGACCCCCTCCGACCCCTGGCTGCGCCTAGATATTCTGTCCATAAATACAGTGAACAGAACCGGTGACAAAGGGCAGCCCTGTCGGAGGCCAACATTCACCGGGAACAGGTCTGACTTACTGCCGGCAATGCGAACACAGCTCTGGCTCCGGTCATACAGGGATCGGATGGCCCTCAGCAGAGGACCTCCGACCCCGTACTCCCGGAGAACCCCCCAAAGGACACCCCGGGGAACACAGTCGAACGCCTTCTCCAAATCCACAAAGCACATGTGGACAGGTTGGGCGAACTCCCATGAACCCTCGAGTATCCAATGGAGAGTAGAGAGCTGGTCCAGTGTTCCGCGACCGGGACGAAAACCACACTGCCCCTCCTGGATCCGAGATTCGACCATCGGCCGTAGCCTCCTCTCCAGTACCTTGGAGTAGACCTTACCGGGGAGGCTGAGGAGTGTGATCCCACGATAATTGGAACACACCCTCCGGTCCCCCTTCTTGTAGAGAGGGACCACCACCCCGGTCTGCCACTCCATTGGCACTGCCCCCGATCGCCACGCGATGTTGCAGAGACGTGTCAGCCAAGACAGTCCTACAACATCTAGAGACTTTAGATAATCAGGGCGGATCTCATCCACACCCGGAGCCTTGCCACCATGGAGGCTACCAACCACCTTGGTGACCTCAGCCAGGGAGATGGATGTATCCGCCCCAACATCCTCAGCCTCTGCCTCTGAAACAGAGGACGTGACGGGGGGATTGAGGAGAACCTCAAAGTATTCCTTCCACCGCCCGACAATATCCCCAGTCGAGGTCAGCAGCTCTCCACCCGCACCGTACATGGTGTTGGCAAAGAACTGCTTCCCCCTTCTGAGGCGCCGGATGGTTTGCCAGAATCTCTTCGAGGCCGACCGATAGTCATGCTCCATGGACTCTCCGAACTCCTCCCAGTCCCGGGTTTTTGCCTCTGCAACAGCCCGGGCCGCGGCACGCTTGGCCTGCCGGTACTGAACAGCTGCCTCAGGAGTCCCCCGAACCATCATGGCTCGATAGGACTCCTTCTTCAGCCTGACAGCATCCCTTACTGCCGGTGTCCACCACCGGGTTCGGGGGTTGCCGCCGGGACCAGCACCAGAGACCTTGCGACCACAGCTACGAGCCGCCGCATCGGCGATTGAGGCAGAGAACATGGTCCACTCGGACTCCATGTCCCCCTCCTCCGCCGGGACCTGGGAGAAACTCTCCCGGAGGTGTGAGTTGAAAGTCCGTCTGACAGGGGGCTCAGCGAGACGTTCCCAGCAGACCCTCACTATACGCTTGGGTCTGCCAGGTCTGACCGGCTTCTTCCCCTGCCAGCGGATCCAACTCACAACCAGGTGATGATCGGTTGACAGCTCCGCCCCTCTCTTTACCCGATTGTCCGAGACACGCGGTCGAAGGTCAGATGATACGACAACAAAGTCGATCATCGACCTCCGGCCTAGGGTGTCCTGGTGCCACGTGCACTGGTGGACACCCTTGTGCTCGAACATGGTGTTTGTGATGGACAAACTGTGACTGGCACAGAAGTCCAACAACTGAACACATCAGATCAGGGGGGCCGCTCTTCCCGATCACACCTCTCCAAGTGTCACTGGCGTTTCCCACATGGGCGTTGAAGTCCCCCAGGAGAATAACGGAGTCCCCGGGCGGTGCACCGTCCAGTACCCCTCCCAAGGGCTCCAAGAAGGCCGGGTACTCTGCACTGCTGTTAGGCCCGTAGGCCGTCACAACAATGAGAGACTTGTCCCCCACCCGGAGGCGGAGGGACGCGACCCTCTCATTCAATGAGAATGGCCACCCCAGCTCGCCGCCTCTCCCCGCGGGAAACTCCAGAAAAGTGGAGCGTCCAACCCCTCTCAAGGAGTTGGGTTCCAGAGCCCAAGCTGTGTGTGGAGGTGAGGCCGACTATCTCTAGTCGGTATCGCTCAACCTCCCCCACAAGCTCGGGCTCCTTCCCCCCCAGTGAGGTGACGTTCCACGTCCCAAGAGCCAGCTGTTGTGTGTGCGGACTGGGTCGCCGAGGTCTCCGCCTTCGACCGCTGCCCAGTCCTCTCTGCACCGCTTCGCCACCACGGACCCCTCTGCGGGTGGTGGGCCCACAGGAGGGAGGTAACTGGTGGATCCAAATTCTGTAGAAATTCCTCAAAATGAGTCTTTATCATCCTGAGTAGTGTGTGTGGCCTCCACGTGCCTGAATGCACTCCCTGCAACGCCTGGGCATGCTCCTGATGAGACCACGAATGTCCTCCTGAGGGATCTCCTTCCAGATCTGGATTAGAGCATCAGTCAGCTCCTGGACAGTCTGTGGTGCGACGTGGCATTGATGGATGGACGAGACATGATGTCCCAGATGTGCTCTATTCGATTTAAGTCTGAGGAACTGGCAGGCCAGTCCAAAACATCAATACCTTCATCATGCAAGAACTACTGACCCACTCTTGTCACATGTGGCCTGGCATTATCATGCATCGGAAGGAACCCAGGGCCCACAGCACCAGCATATGGTCTTACAATAGGTCTGAGGATCTCATCCGGTACCCAAGGCCAGTCAGGGAACTTCTGGCTAGCCCATGTAGCGGCCCTCCAAGGAAATGCCTCCCCAGACCATCACTGACCCACCACCAAACCGGTCATGCTGAACCTGCTCTCATCTGTGAAGAGCACAGGGCACCATTGGACAATCTGCCAATCGCTGTGTTTTCGGGCAAATGCCAATCGGGCTGCACTGTGTTGGGCAGTAAGCACCGGCCCAACTTGTGGACGTCGGGCCCTCATACCACCCTCATTGAGTCGGTTTCTGACCGTTTGAGTACCAACATGCCCATTTGTGGCCCTCTGGAGGTCATTTTGTAGGGCTTGGGCAGTGCTTCTCCTGTTTCTTTCAAATGAGCAGATAGCGGTCC